GAGAGAGAGAGAGAAAACCGCCGCTGGTCTCGATACGTCTCGCGAGAGTTTCGCGGTGTTTTTACGCTTCGCGACATTGTTCCGCGCCCGGAGTTCGCCTGGAGGAGCGAATAGAAATTTGAGTCGTGTGTACGAGAGGAGACGGCGAGATAGCTACGTGGGAACGAGCGGAAAATTTCGCTGCCGGCGATCGGCGTTATGGTGGATATAAGTGAATCCTAGAGAGCGACGATGTTTGCTATAAATAAGTTAATCGTAGTGAATAGACGGAATTGAGGACGGAAAGTCTCGATAAAAGTACTGAGTGCCAACTTGGAGCGAGCGCGAGCCGAGGCGTAAGGAGCGAGTACGGTTCGCGCCGCGGCTCTCCAAGTGATAAATAAGTGAACGTATAATTTCTCCGATGTCAAAAAAACGACACTTCCACCTGTCTCTCGTGCTGCTTGAGACTTCCGCCTTCAACTATTGCATCTAGCGCAGTAAATGCGACACTGAAGAGAGAAACCTATTCTTAACATCCAAATATCTATGAATTACATCGACAACCGTCGTACATGTGCAGGATGCCGCGAAAGCTGCGGGCTTTCTCTCGCGTAGGAATAGATAAGGCGCTTTGAACATCGAGGCGTCAATCGAATCAAGTTTTGATCAAATTTATTTCGACATCACCGACCTTTATTTGAATTTGAAAACCACTTCGAGTCCGATATTACAAACGTGGCGTCGATCTAATCCAGCTTTTGTAAGCCCGCGAAAGAAATCGGCCGCTTCCGAGACATCCTGCGCTTCTCAACTACGCCGTACGGTAAATAATATTATATGCATATAGCACGATTGATAAGCTTCACGTCTGCGGCGCAATTAAACGATCGCCCGGATCGGACACGCGAGAGATGGATCTGTCGAGTTTGCATCCTCGGCGATAGCTGTGCAGGCGGCAACGGTATTGCCGCGCGATAATCGTAAAGAAGTTCACTCGACATTAGATCGCGAAGGAAAGCGGGCGCGCGCACGCGCGCGTAAAACAGCGAGTGAAATGCGAATTCCAATTCGTACGCTCGTTGCATTCGCGATCCCGACGACTATCGCCGAGGACTGCAAACAGGTCGGACGCGCGATCCAAATCCATCGAGCGGTCGTCGATTTCGCGCAGACGTGCAACACGTATATAT